GTGCGTCTAGTGCGTCTGAAGTTTGGAGTAGAATCCGGGGTTTACGCCGAGTTTACGTGAGGCGTCGGCAACGGCTCCAAAGCCCGCGAGCAGCCATATCATTGGCTAGAACTAGCTAGATCTGATGGATTTGGACATAAACGCGAGTGAAGTATAACCGGACGAGAGAGTCAGAGATATCAGCACCTGCAGCTCTGCCCGCTGTGAGGGACCGGTGAGCGGAGCAAAACACACCTTTAGACGTCGACTAACACATTTAGCTATGGCACTGTCGTATACATTGAATTATTCAATTTGATAATATGTAATCAACTTAGGCATCCCTCCCAAAAACAAAAAAATATATTAATAAAAAAATTAATAACTCATATTCGAATACCTGAATAATTTTGAATATTCGATTAATCGTTCCCATCCCTAGTGAATGCTAAGGAATAAACTGGTTTTCATTTTTAATATTTGTAATAATATTTAAACACCACTGTTTATAATGTAATATATACATTTTTACATATTTATTAGTGTTTAATATTATAGTACAAAAGCTTCTGTAAAAGTTCTTATGCCTATATAATATTTGAATTCTCTTTTATTTAATATTCTTAATGCACAGTTTTACGTCATATCGGACACAAATCTGTATCAGCTCCGTGGTACCCCCGCTTTTAGAGATTTGGGTAAAAGAGAGAGGGTTGTGTTTTCTGACACTTTGTGAGTTCCCTGACACACCGGGGACACATATTCATGTAGGAAGACGTACAAATGTGCATTTTGCATGATAGGAGACCTTTAGAAAAAGAGTGCGATCAAAAAACATAGAGGGAAAAAAAATCATAAATAAATAAATTATAATGGTGCCTTCTTTTTTTGTCTTATTAAAGCCAACATCTTTGAGGTTCACCAATGAGGGACCTAGTGTAACTTTTGATTTGTTTCTATTGTTAGAAAAATTAAAGCTTTAACAAATCCACTCAACCGGCAAACATTGGTTTTACCTCCTGGACTTTGTTAGCAAACTCCTGTATGGACTCGCCATCTTGTCTTGATACTGTCGGGAGCCAGCTGGGAAGAAAATGAACACAAAAAAATAACAACGTTTGAAGTACAAGAACTATTATTGCAGCAGAAATATTCAAAATAGTTTGAAACTCAAAGCAAGAAGCAAACATTTTAGTTTTAAAATATTGAGTGATTTTTCAACAAAAAACTACCTCAATGTTTAAGAAAATTAATCATTTTTGTCATTGGATTCCACTTTGAAAAAGCAATTGCTGATAGAAGTAATGATACAAATTATTTAGTACCTTACATGATACACTGTACATGGAGCAAAAAATGTCCATAAGAGCTCCTTCATCCAGCTCGAGTCAGGTGTGCTCTGTGAACAGACAAAACACAACAAAGTCAATCACATGGATGTATTACAGTGTCATGGGAAAGTCATAGCTGTGTCACAGTGTCCAGGTGCCCCAAACAATCCTGCAGCTATTTAAAAATATCTGCAGCACACGTCAACACTACATTTAATTATTCTCGGTACTGAGATGGCTGGATTAGATTAAAGCAGCACTCGGTCCTTGCAGGAGAGTTCACTCATTTTGCAATCATAGAAATATCTTCATAGATATATCTTCTCCTTGTACTTGTTGTGCAACACTCATATAGACTATAGAGCGCATGTAAAATTCAAACAGTTAAGGCCGTACATTCAAAATAAGCATATATTTGTAACGGTATTCAGATCTTCTTGTTTATTTATCCATTCACTGTGTTGCTGTCTTCAATGCAAGTTCAAATATAATTACCAAAGCAATCAACGGTCTGGTCACTCGTAAGGCCACAGGTTGAATGGAGTCAGTCAGTGAGAAAGGCCAAGAACTGAGAAGGGAAAGTGTATATAATTAGTGTGTTAGTTTTTGAGGTTGTATGCTTTAAATAAATAGCTAAATGTGGCTTTTTTCACTCAAGAGGAATTGATTTCTAAACATGTCAAATTTATTTTACTTTTCAAACAAATTAAAACGTAGCAGAATCATAAGGCAAACTGTCAGGTAACTGGTAGGTCGAAGATATTATCAATTTCAATGAAGAATTGGCCAAACCCTGTCTCTAAGTGCAGATAATGATATATTCCAAACACTCACTGCTGTCCTATAGGGCTGGTTTCACTGTTTCAGGTCAACAGAAATGACTAGCAAAAACAAAAAGGAAGGCTAAAGATAGAACAACACTACATTTGTTTAGCTATTCATACTTTCTGCTCGCATTGCATCAACCAATTTCCACAGAGAAATGATCACTGTCGCCTCAGTGACATTAGTCAAACATTAGGCAGATCCTGATGGCACTAACCTGAACTTCAGCAGGCCAGCGCGGCCGTTGGTGGTCTCCTCTTCGGGGAACAGGAGCAGCGGGGGGGTGCCCTCAGTGGAGCAGTACCTCTGGAGAGTGTCTCCTATGGCTCCCTGGCCAGATGCTGAACGGATCTCCATGAAGCCTCTGGCCCAGCACACAAAGCCGGTGGAGCCCTCTAACTGGGGCTAAAGGCGCAGAAAGAGACAGAGCATCTCACCAACATTTAATTCAGCAGAAACAATACCAGCACCAGTTAAACCAAAATAATGCCAAAGTTGCATCAGCGCTGAAACTCAAAGGTGCACACTTGTACAGGAAACTGAGACATGGTTAAGCACATTTAAAAGACAAACACTCACGGTATGGCAGGGGGTCAGAAGGTTGATTATGTTGTGGTCGAACTCTGTCACATGGTTGCATATGTACAGCTTGGTGTTTTTGTCCCTGGAGCGAGGGTTCTTCGTTCTCACGTGCATCCCCAGGACTGAGCACATAATCCTGACAATAAATCTAAGAGAACAAAAGGAATAAAGCTGAAGTTAATCGGGATGATTATCTTAATATGTAGTGGGCAATTATCTAGAACATACATGGTGTATCACTGCTTTATGGCTCTTCATTCCCACAATCATTACCTTTAACTTAACACTGAAAGCCAAATACCATCTGAAATGTAAGAGTTATTAACACTAACAAATAGAGTGCAACTAGCACTTAAGCCTTTACAGTTTTGTATGGGGTGGCTGTGATTAATAGCGTCATTTTAACTGAGGGGCAGCCATTACGCAATTATTTAAATCAATTACAAAGTATGCATTATATAGCGGATGATAACATAAACTGTTCCCACTTCCTGATATTAAGACATGGATACAAACTCTTAAATTATAAAAAGATTACTCTTAATGATACACAAACAGTAACTACAACAGCTACTTCTGCCACATCTATGAATGTTAAGACTGTTGAGGGTAAAATGGACCATAGAGAAATGTACACTGTATAATGTTAAATACTTGCCTTCTAATAAAACTCTCTGGAAGTGCACAGCTGACCAAGAACACGTGAACACCAACAAAAATCCTTATTAGCATCAAACAGATACCAACTGGAAAGTAAATCAGCAACAGTAGGAGGACTGCAGCATCTTTGGGAAACCTGTCAAAGGAAAAGTTGCAAACATTTTTTTAATTCACTGGAGAGAACTTGAACTTAAATGTTATAGCAGATGAAATATTGACAGTCCACATGAATTACAATAGGTCTTACATGATGACTGAGCATTTCTCTCAGATTTAGTATGTTAATTAGTCACTGCTGGATCAAGTATTGTTTGAAATTTGATTTCCCATGTTGTATTACAGCCCGTAGCGTTAATTTCCCACACGTGATTACACGTGTCGCTACTTGATTGTCTTTAAGGTTGGGTGCTTGAGAACACCCGGGATGTTTTATACCAAAGTAGTCCTATTCTGGCCTAAAATCCCACAAACAAATGTGCACCTACAGGCCCCATGTCCCACCTGCATTGATGTGAAAGATACTTGTATTGGTGTGTAGTACATATTGTTCAAGCAAAATATACTTTTCAAATCGAAGGTGACGGGTAATGGCCATGGTACTCTATGTAGAGGTTCAACATTAGCTCATTCTACTGTGCACGCTTTAGAAGTTCAGGAAACTTAGCTCTGTTCTTTAAGTCATTTTACGAAGTCAACTTTAACCACCGTGTAAGGCCAAGCTAGCTTGCGTATAACGCTACAGTGAATGGCTGGGCGACATGTTTACTGAGATGAACATTGCACAAGGTTGCATAACAAAAGTTAGCAATAAAATGTTAACGTCACCATACCACAGCTATGATAGCTAGCTGGCTCAAGTTAATAAAATACTAAATAGCCTCTCGTTTGGACTGAGAAGCCTTCCGCAACGTGAGTTAATGCTAGCGGACAAACATTACACGTCACTGTAGATAACGTTACTGTATTTTTTTAAACACACTGGATACGACCGTAACATCCATGCTAATGCGGCTAATTAGCGTTAGCTGAAGGTTAACAACAGCTTGCATTAGCTAGCTGCAGTTAGCTGACTTACCGACGAAAGTCGAACATATCTTCAATCCCCCGGTTCTCCATGTCTGCCAGTTAGACCTTTGCTCGGAGGCTAATGCTAAGAATACAACCTGATCCCTAAAAATAAATGAGTCATTACGTTCAGAGCAGCTATGTTGTCGCACGGTGGGCTTAAGCGTCAGCTAACGTTATTATGCCCACAATGCCCCCGCGAATAACTAGCAGTCTATTTTTCAAGTTTGAAATGTTAGCTTAGCAAAAATGTTGCTGTCTGCGGTGCTAGCATCGCTAGCGCCTGTGCTCCGCTAGCAGACACTACACAACAACAACACTTCCGGCCAGAATCCTCCAGAATAAAAGTCCATATATGTTAACTGAATAAAGGTTTCCTAATTTTGCCATACAAATGAAAAATAATCTACGCTTTTGCTGACGTCTTTATAAATCCTTATAAATCCTTTAAAACCAGATTAGTTTATGAGTTTACCTTCGTCTGGTCTCGGATTTTCAAAACTAAAGTCCCCTCATGAAAAGGCATCGACATAATGTACTATGTCGCCCTCTGGTGGCTGTATTAAGTTATAATTGGAAATTGGCTGCGACGACCATTATCTGTGTTACTTAATGATAATAATTACATGTTGCCATATAGTTTAGGTATAGTCTTTTGAAAATATTGTACCGTGAGATTGTACGAAATTCATTCGTATTTAGTCGAACAATTATAAATCAAAGTGTCCATGAGGACATTGAAATATGACTCAAGGGAGACCGTGGTCTAAAATATGTTTTAATGCATATCTAAGTGCGTTATCTAGATTTTAAAAGAATACACTTTATTATTGTGTCTGGGGTGACCCGGATTTATTTCAAAAGGTCGGGATTGCTTCACATTTTGTGGTAAAATCAAATATAACCATTTAAATAGCAAACGTTTAAAATGTACTTTTGCTTTATCATGTCACTAATATATATGATAACCAGGTAATTTTTTTTGTAGTCCTTTTGATGTATAAAGTAATGTTGTATCTGTATCCGTTATTACGGATTTGCAACACTGTTAAAACGTGTGTGTACGTCTTTTGAACACCCCCCGCCTGTTAATACTCTGTCTCCTCCCACATCCTCAGTCCTGTTTTGTTTGGCAACAACGCTAAACCTCTTGTATAACCACTGCTGATTTTTACGAGTTTGAAATTGATTCGTCAGCTAAGGAAAACATCACATCTATCTTTTAATCTGAACATTTCTTTCTGACAATACAACGAAACCATCATGATGGTCGGATTCGGCTGTCCGGTAATCCTGTGGCTGGCCTTGGCCGCCGTGCAGGGCTCGGTCCTCGGGCTCGGTGAGGACATGGACCGGCCCCTGATCGGGCCTCCAGGCTCTCCCGTCCGGCTGCATGAGTCCGACGCTGGGCTGAAGAAGGCTATGCAGTTCGCGGAGGAGCGCTACAACCAGGGCTCCAACGCCATGCACCTCCGCAAAGTCAGCAGGCTCCTCTCGGCCACCAAACAGGTGCACAAACGGGTTATTTGTTACAATATGTACATGTTAAATTAATTACGGCATTGTATCGTCATAATTTGTCATAACATACTGTTGCAATTGTTATTGGTCTTCTGTATACTGTTTTTTGACATTGTAGTAAGACATAATGTTTTCCATCTTTTGTAAACAACACCACCTAATAGGGCCATTTAAAACTGCGTCACGCTGGCAAGAGTTAGCTAACAAAGATCGGAAATACGCTGACTTACCTTCAAAATAATGGCCTAAACTCGTCTGCCTTATGTTCCTTACGTGGAGGTATACAATACAAAATAAAATATGCTTTTAGTTTTATCTTTCACAGACTTGTCATTGAGTTTGTGATTTATTTTAATCTTTTCACTTTCTGTAAAGCATACAGAGAAAGGTTACTAGCAGCATTTTCCCCTCATTATTTTCATTATGCCCGGAAGTCATTTGTTTGAAATACACCTGACTTCACACTACAACCAAATAGCCTTATCCATTTGTGCAGTACAAGCTCCCTTTGTATATCACTGTTCAGTATGGGCCACCATAGTCTCTTCATACAGCATGGAAGCATCTAGAAACAACAGTAAAAATCCCTAAAGTCTGGTAAATGACATTCAAATACACACATTGAATAGCCACTAGTAAACTAGGCTGTACCACTATTAGAGTTATATCTTGAATTAATTCTCTTATTGAAGTATTTTTTCCCTGTTTGTACATTACAATTGACCACTGTCTGTGTGTATTTGTACTTTTCAGCTTGTCAAGGGTATCCGCTACTCCATCACAGTGGAACTGAGTAACACTCAATGCAAGAAATCCACCATGCTCAGGACATGTGACTTCTATCCCGAGATACAGAAACTCAAGGTTGTGTGTGTGTGTGTGTGTGTGTGTGTGTGTGTGTGTGTGTGTGTGTGTGTGTGTGNGAGACACTAACAAACAGAAAACATATTTTAATAACACTGAAGTAGGGGTGCAACAACTAATCGACTTAATCGATTAAAATCGATTACCAAGTTAGTTGGCAACTGCCAACTAACTTGGTAATCGATTTTAATCGATTAAGTCGATTAGTTGTTGCACCCCTACTTCAGTGTTATTAAAATATGTTTTCTGTTTGTTAGTGTCTCACATACTTATTATTGCAATATATCAGGAATTCCTTACGGGGAATTCTTAAAATTGGGCACAAATGGAACATTTATCTCCAATGTCTAACAATATGATCAAATGATGAAGTGAAAGCATTTTGGATTACCGTATGTTATCTGCCACTTGGCTGGTTGGCGAAGCTTCAGTCGCAAAGCAGTTATTCTAGTTTGCCTTTGTGCTGTGCTTGTGAACTAAAGGTGTCAGTTTATCTTTCAGCTCCTGGCTGGGGAACTGGGCCTGGTCTCCACTAAGATCACTAAAGCCGATAAAGCAGAGCACATCAAACGGACCAAAAGACACACCGTACCACAAGCATCTACAAGTAAGTCAATTACAAAATCTAAAAGATCAAAATGAAAATATTTGATTCATCCCAGGAGAAAATGTGGTTTGTGACAACAGCTCCATTTCAAAAAGAAAAAAATATAAATAACAAATATAATATAATGCCGTTCTTCTCTCTTCCCCTAGGTGCCAGACCAGCATCTATCGGTCTTGGATTCATGGTCCAGAGTTTGGGTACGGATGATCATAGGATTGCTAAGATGGCCCAACAGGTGAAGGACGTGCTGCCTCACGTCCCGCTGAATGCCATCGCAAAGGACTTAGGTAGGGCCGCTAACTCGGCTTCATCCTTCCTTTACATTTGTAACACATCCTTCATACACTTAAGCAGGGTTTGAATATCTGTGAACTTACAGTTGTCTTTTGATTGTGTTCAGCTGAAACCAATTGTGTGGACACCACCATAACTAATCTGCTGGAGAGCAAGGAGGAAGGTCTGATGGAAGCATCCGGGACGTCAACGTTTGGGTCTTCTATGAACAACTCCTATTCCTCTGTCCCTGCCCCAACCATAAAGGTTTGTCAGGGCTCTCTGGAGAATGATTTGTTAGAGAGAAACTCCCTCATGAGAGATCCCCAAAAAACAGAAAAGGGTCTCTTTAAAGGTGACCTATCATGCAAAATGCACCTTTGTACGTCTTTTATACATGAATATGTGTCCCCGGTGTTCCAGGGAACTCACCAAGTGTCAGAAAACACAACCCTCTCTATTTACCTCCATACCCAAATCTCTTAAAAAGGGGCTGCAACGGATCTGATACAGACTGATCCAGATTTGAACACTTCTATGACGTCACAGAAGTGGCTACGCCTATGGCCCAACTCCAGCCAATCAGGAGGAGACAGCCATCGCGAACATTGCCGTTGAAAGAGCTGGAGAGCTGTTGAGCTACATATGCAGGCCTGCTACGATCGTGCTGTCTCACAGAATCAGGCACCATGCCAAAGACAGCGTTAAAGTTGCAGCCGAAATGCAGGAATGGCTAAAATGCTTGAATCTGTATTGGTATTTTGAAAAATAAAAAAAGATGATAAATATGCCTATTATATAGTATGGTCCTGCACTATATGTATTACAAATATAAGCGGATGATAGACCACTTATAAATCACCAAACAGTTAGGCTCATCGAATCTTTGTTGTGCAAGGTCCTATTTTATTTTATTTGCAGTAAGTGCCAATCCATCTAAACTGCTTATTTTCGTATTATAAGAAATTACTAATAATGGATTTTGTTTTTTGCGGGGCAACTGTCTCTTTTCGTCCACAGCCTGCTGCCCAAATGCTTTCGGGAGGATACCCAGCGTTGATAGACATTTGTCTCGTCCAAGAGAGGAAAGAAGCACGTTTATAATTTTGCAACGAATGTGAGATGCTATTCCTGCCAGTAAGCAGCTGCTCACATAATTACATCGAACACAGCGCGTGGAGAATATTGTAATTAAGGCAAGACCGAGCAGAATGTCTGTTCATATTTGGCGAAAGTGGGAGTTAAAGGCTTTCCGATTATACTCAACTATTTATTAAGTAAGACATTCTGGAGTGTCTATTCGTTTCATTTATAAAGACACCTCTAAGTCGCGCGGGTATTCATACTGCACAAATTCATTGATTGAGTGATTTACTTTGAATTCCTATTTCTAGGGCTCATGAGATGTATTCTGAAAGCAGTGAAGGGAATACAAACAAGAGAAATGTAGGAGCTAACCAACCCTCGATAAGCTTATACTCTCTCTGTGGCATTACGCCTGAGCTCAGCCCCAATACTGGGCCGGATCGTCGGAGTTGTCACATGTATATTATATATAGCGTATAATGTGTCGCTCATTTTGAAGCTGACAATGCCCGTGCAAATACTTGTTTTACTTTAAAGCTGGCCAAATGTATCAAGTATTTGGTGATCAATGGGGTCCAAAACTGGTTACTCGTGAAATAGTGAGTTGCTGTGCATAAACTGTAATAGCTCAAAAAGCCACAACTCTGGAGCACACTTTGTCTCTCATTGTATTAGTATAACCAGACTATTCTGCGGAACAAAATATGGAATTTAGATGTGCCAGCTGCACTGTCCGTAAAAGTTGTGTTACAGTTCCACATATTGTGAATGATGATACAGGCATATTATGTAAGTAAAGGAAGCACTTACCTAGTGTATATATGTTTTCTCATCCAGACGCTACATCGGAGAAACACGGATTGGATCAATAAGACAGGTCACTCGTAACTCGCTTGGGTCACAGCCACATGCATAATATGTCAGAGAGAAGCGTGTGCGAGCGTGCATAGCCCCTGTCTAAAGTTTGAATGTTGATTATTATATTCCGTCAACAGCGTTCTGTGCCAAACAGAATCCTTGTTAATTGCCATAATAAAGGTGCAGCTCTCTTGACGCCTTCAGAACATGTTATGTTGATGAAAAGTGGTGATTAGCATGTGTTAATTCTGTTCATCCTGCTGTACTAAGTTTTTGATAACAAGTTTGCTATTACGATCCACTGACTAGTGCAATCATCGTATTTATTTTATAATGTCCAGAGTCGTGATGAAAAATAAAGTTCAGCCACTTGACCTTAAGAAATGTGCTCACTGATGCTGTTTCAATTAACGTTGCGAAGCAAAACCAAGAAAGAAAAAAAAAAAAGAAAAAAAACAAAAAAAAAAAAAATGTCAAACTGCATGATGAAGTAGAAATGAATTAAATGGAATGTGATTTGCCAGGTATTAGGTAATTAATATTTATGATCTATACTTTAGTAGTGTTTAACAATAGTTTAATATCCTGAATGCATGCTGCATTTTCTCCCAAATATAGACAAAGTCCATCAATGATGGAGCTAATAATACAGATATAGAGGATATAAACTCATATAAGTGATGATGTATGACTGTTATATCACTCCGGTATTTATATCATCCTAACGCGATGATGCATACCTGTCTGCATACTCCCAAGGCACAAGATAGATAGATAATGAACTTGATGGAGTTGCCTCTATGGTATGGAGGGCTCAAAGTAGAAGATAACTCATAAGTACCATATACATCGGGGTGATCGAAATCATTCGAACTATATTGCTTTGGTTGCCATAACTCACATCTCAGGCAGGTGGTGTGCCATCATAGTTAAGGCAACTGAATGCGA